AATATTGCTATCTGTCTGAAAAATATTTCTGTGTGGGGCATGGGGACTCATGCCTGTAATCCCAGCACTTGGGAGGCCAAGGCAGGTGGATTGCCTGAGCTCACCAGTTTGAGATCAGCCTGAGCAAGACCGAGACCCTATGTCTAAAAAATAGCTGGGTGGGGGTGGTGCTTCTAGCTCAATGACTAGGGCTCCAGCCCCATATACCGAGGGTGGTGGGTTTGAACCCGCCCTAGCCAAACTGCAACAAAAAAATAGCCGGGCATTGTGGCAGGCGCCTGTGTTCCCAGATGCTTGGGAGGCTGAGACAGGAGAATCGCCTGGGCCCAAGAGCTGGGATTTGCCATGAGCTGTGACACTACGGCACTCTACTAAGGGTGACAAAATGAGACTCTGTCTCTAAAAAAAAAAAAAATTAGCCAGGTGTAGGCTCCACACCTGTGGCTCAAGTGGCTAAGGCACCAGCCACATATACCTGAGCTGGTGGGTTTGAATCCAGCCCAGGACTGCCAAACAACAATGATGGCTGCAACTAAAAAATAGCCAGGCGTTGTGGTGGGCGCCTATAGTTCAAGTTACTTGGGAGGCGGTGGCAGAATTGCTTGAACCTTGGAGTTGGAGGTTGCTATGAGCTGTGATGCCGCGGCACTCTACCCAGGGTGACAGCTTGAGTCTCTGTCTTTTAAAAAAAAGCTGGTTGTTGTGGTGGGCACCTGTAGTCCCAGCTACTGGGGAGGCTGGGGCAAGAGAATCACTTAAGCCCAAGAGTTTGAGGTTACGGTGAGCAGTGATGCCACGTCAGTCTACCGAGGGTGACAAAATGAGATTTTGTCTCAAAAAGAAGTCTGTTTATTCCAAAAAACATAGGATTTGGGCTGTCCCAGGGGACTGTTTCTGCCATTAGAATCTCGATCTTCAGGCCCCCCATCTCGTCCTCATCTCTGCATCTTGACTTCACAGTAGCTTAGGCCAAAACCTCAGAGTCCTCCCCCTCGGCCTCATGTCCCATGTCCCAACTGTCATCAAACCCAATTAAGTCTGTCCCCAAGACAGGTTCGGAATCTGGTCCTTCCCATGCCCAACCACCACCCCCAAGCCTAGACCATGCTCTTGCACCCAGGAGTGCTGCAGCTGCCCCTCGGCTTCCTGCTGCTATGTAGCATGCCTTCTCACGGACACAGAGATCGAGATCGCTGGGGTTTCTGTCTGCCCCACAGTCAAGGCCACAGCCCTGCCAGGGGCCAGTGAGGCTCTCTCTCTGCAGCGGGACCAGACCCGCACACCCTGCACCCTGTGCTGGCCACAATTCTGCTTGCTGTGCTCTTCCCCAGAGCAGCTACAGGGCCCGGCCCTGCCCCAATCTTGGCACACTTCTTAGGGATGCCGTCCTTGTCCTCTTAAGTAAGTGTTCAAAGAGCCCCTAAGCCCTGCCTCCCTCTCTAGCTTCTGTCCCCTGTTAAATTCTGCCTTGTTTACTTCTTCCTTTATCATCTGTCTTCCTTCCCTGGAAATGTGCTCCATGGGGTTGTTTATCTGTCCTGCCAGCTGCTGGGTCTTCCCCAGGGGGTGTCTAGTGCCTTTAGTGAACAAACTGATTCAATTCCAATAGGTAACAAGTAGCACATAATGGGTTTTTTGTTTTTTGTTTTTGAGACAGAGTCTCACTTTGTCTCCCTCTGTAGAGGGCTGTAGCATCACAGCTCACAGCAACCTCAAACTCTTGGGCTCAAGCGATTTCTCTTGCTTCAGCCTCCCAAGTAGCTGGGAATACAGGCACCCGCCACAATGCCTGCCTATTTTTAGAGACAGGGTCTTGCTCAGGTGATCCACCTGCCTAAGCCTCGCCAGGTGCTGGGATTACAATCATGAGCCTGGCCACATAAGGGGTTGTTTCTTTTTTCTTTTTTTAAATTTTTTTTATTTATTTTTGCAGTTTTTGGCCAGGGTTGGGTTTGAACCCACCACCTTTGGCATATGGAGCTGGTGCCCTACTCTTTGAGCCACAGTTGCCACCCTGTTTCTTTTTTCTAAGACAGAGTTTCACTATGTCACCCTCAATAGAGTGCAGTGGTATCACAGCTCGCAGCCCCCTCAAATTCTTGGGCTTAAGTAATTCTCTTGC